TAGACAGAAGGTTAAGGGATACAAGGGTTTAGGGTAGGGTTAGTGTTAGGTTTAAGGTGGACTGAGGGTTAGGGGTAGATTTAGGGTTCTTAGCATTAGGTTTAGGGTAGAGGCAGTGACGGATCCGGAGCCTGATCTCGGGAGGGGCACTTGTAGATTATTTAAAGAAATAATCCAGACACAATAACCACTACAGCTCAGTGTAGTGGTTATGGTGTCAATAGTGCCGGGACCCCCTCCCAGAGTAACTAGTCAAACCATTTAAGAACAGTTTGACAAGTTACCTGAGGTCTTCTGGGAAATGGGGCAGTAGTAGGGCATAGGAGCAGTGGTGTGTGAGTGGTACAATGTGTAAGGGGTGCAGTGTGTGTGTGTGTGTGTGTGTGAGGGGGACAGTGTGTGAACAGTGTGTGTGTGTGAAGGTTGTAGTGTGTGTGAGGGCGGCAGTGTATGTCAGGGATGCAGTGTATGTGTGGGACAGTATGTGTGTGTAACAGTTGCAGTGTGTGTGTGTGAGTATTGCAGTGTATGGGGGCAGTGTGTGTGTATGGGAAGCAGTGTGTGCATATTGGGTAGTGTATGTGTGTAGAGTGTGTGTATGGGGGGCAGTGTGTGTGTATGGGGGCAGGACAGTGTGTGTGTATGGGGGTAGTGTGTGTGTATAGGGGGCAGTGTGTGTGTATGGGGGCAGTGTGTGCAGGGGAGGGCTGGCAGCCTTAGGCCTGGGGGGCAAAATCAGTCAAGTGGCCCATTGCACCACCAAATCAGTTCACCATTCATGCCCACCTTTTCCTGGTTTTATAACGGATATTGATGTTATGCTAATCAGTAGCTCTTTGCCATACCCGCTCCTTCACGGCTCCAGGCACTGCTTGTTGTGAGTGTGAGCCACTGTAGATTAGGGGCAGAGGGCACTTGCACTGCGGTAAAGATGGGGCTGGACAGGAGGAGAGTGCAGTGCAATCAGTGCACTCCCCTCCTGTGGGTCACCAGTAGACTGGTGCACCTGCCCAGGATCAGTGCCGGTGCAAGGATTTTTGCAGCCCTAGACAAAATAAAAATTTGCTGCCCCCCCATGTGACATCACAATGCCCCACCCATATGAACTAACGCCAGTGCTGCACACAGTGTGTGTTTACATTAAAAAGCCTGCAGGGACCAGCTATAGACACCAGAACCACTTCATTAAGCTATAGTGTCCCTTTAATGTGAGGTAAATTATAGATTGGTGTCACTAATAATATACTAGATTGCCTACTTACAAGCAGATGAGGATGATGATGGGCTGCAGTTTGGCTCCACTGGTCTGGTGTAGAACAGGATCTCTGGGGGCTGTTTGCAGCTGTGGTCACAAAATTCAATGTTCTGGGAGAATTGGAAGCAGCTCCATTTTTTGGGGCCCCTTACACAGCTCAAGGTCTGGGCCCCAGGGCCTGACGGTGAGTATGCCCATAAGACCCACTCATAAGTTCCACCCACCCATGAGTTCGCTCACAGGGAGTGGAGTGTGTAGGGGATGTGTTATGTGTTATTGTAGAGGATCTAATATGTGTGCTTATGGTATGTAGTGTATAGGGTTACCAGTTTGTGCAGGTGATGTAGTGTGTTTGTGTGTAGTGGAAGCAGTGTGTATTTGTGTATAAAGGATGTATTATGTGTTTCTGGTTGTGTGTAAGGGATGCATTGTGTGAATCTGTGTTTGTATGCATAGGGGATGCAAGGTGTGTGTCTGTATGTGTGTGCATTGAGTGTAAGAGATGCATTGTGTTTCTGTGTGTATGTAAGAAAAGAAGTGTGTGTGTTTGCATATGTGTGTACGGGTTTGCATTGTCTGTTTCTGTGTATGTGTGCAAAGGATGCATTGTCTTTGTGTGTAAGGGTTGCATTGTGTGTGTGTGTGTGTGTGTGTAAGGGTTGCATTGTGTGTGTGTGTGTGTAAGGGTTGCATTGTGTGTTTCTCTGTGTGTAATGGAAGCATGTTGTGTTTCTGTGTATGTATAGGGATGCATTGTGTGTGTGTGCGCGCGCGTAGTGTGAAAGAGCTCCCTGTCTTGGCCCCTGTCCTATAGAGCTGCCCCTTCTGTCCCGTAGAGCTCTCCCCTGCACCTTAGTGGTCTCAGCTCTCCCCCACCCTCCCCTAGCGGTCTCTTCTCACACTCACCCACCCTCCCTGTGCTCTTCTCACTCCTCCCTCTATGTGTTCTCCTCACACCCCCTGTGTTCGTCTTACCCCCTCCTCCCTGTGTTCTTCATACTTCCCCCCTTGGTCGTCTTACTCCCCCACCTGTTCTTCTTAACCCCCCTTCTTCTTATTGCTCCCCCTTCTTCTTCTTACCCCCCCTTCTTCTTCTTCCTCTTCCTCCCCCTTCTTCTTCTTACTCCCCCCATTTCTTCATACTCACCCTTCTTCTTACCCCCTCTTCTTCTTCTTACTCCCCACTCTTCTTCTTCTTACTCCCTCTTTTCTTACTCACCTTCTTCTTCTTCTTACCCCCCTCTTTTCTTATCTCCCCTCAGCCCTGCCTCCTTGCCCTCCCCTTTTCTTGTCCCCCCTCTCCCTCTTACTCCATCCCTCCTTTCTTATTCCCCCTCTCCCTCTTCGCCTCCCCCTCTTCTTCTTCTTCTCCCCCCCTCTTTCTTCTCCCTCCTCTTCTTCTTGCACTCCTCCTCTTCTTCTTCTTCTCCCCATCTTTCTTACTCACTTGCTTCTTCTTCTTACCCCCCTCTTTTCTTATCTCCCTCATTGCTTGCTCCCCTCCCTCTCTTCTTACTCCCCTCCCCTCTTCTTATTCCCCTCCCCTCTTCTTATCCCCCCTTCTTATTCCCCCCTCTTCTTACCCCCTCCCCTCCTCCCTCTCTTCTTACCCCCTCCCCTCCTCCCTCTCTTCTTACCCCCTCCCCTGTAGCGTGGCCGAGCTGCACTCCGGTCCGCGGTGGCCGGCCGGCCGGAGTGATAGGAAGGTGCACACTCAGTGTGCACTTCCTGTCAGTCCGGTCGGTAACAGGAAACAGAAACTCCGCGCGGAACAGGGTTTCTGTTTCCTGTAACCGGCCGGACTGACAGGAAGTGCACACTCAGTGTGCACCCTCCTATCACTCCGGCCGGCTGGCCGGCCACCGCGGACTGGAGTGCAGCTCGGCCACGCTACAGGGGAGGGGAGGGGAGAAGCTGCAGCCGCCTGAGGCTCTTAACAGAGCGCTCAGGCGGCTGCAGTATTTAAAGGGCCGGCCCGCCGCGGCCGGCCTTACAGGAATTTAGGGCGGCCTGGGGGGCAATTGCCTCCCTGCCCCCCGGCCCAGCCCGCCCCTGAGTGTGTGTGTATCGGGTAGTGTATGTGTGTAGGCTGTGTGTATGGGGGCAGTGTGTGTGTGTATGGGGGCAGGGCATGTGTGTATGGGGGCAGTGTGTGTGTGTGTGTATAGGGGGCAGTGTGTGTGTGTATAGGGCATTATGTGTGTGTATGGGGGCAGTGTGTGTGTGTATGGGGGAGCAGTATATGTATGTATAGGGTCAGTGTGTGTGTATAGGGGGCAGTGTGTGTGTGTATAGAGGCAGTGTGTGTGTGTGTGAGGGGGACAGTGTGTGAGCAGTGTGTGTGTGTGAAGGTTGTAGTGTGTGTGAGGGTGGCAGTGTATGTCAGGGATGCAGTGTATGTGTGGGACAGTATGTGTGTGTAACAGTTGCAGTGTGTGTGTGTGTGAGTATTGCAGTGTATGGGGCGGCAGTGTATGGGTGCAGTGTGTGTGTATGGGGAGCAGTGTGTGTGTATTGGGTAGTGTATGTGTGTAGAGTGTGTGTATGGGGGCAGGGCAGTGTGTGTGTATGGGGGCAGGGGCAGTGTGTGTGTGTGTATGGGGGCAGTGTGTGTGTGTGTGTGTGTGTGTGTATAGGGGCAGTGTGTGTGTATGGGGGACAGTATGTGTGTATGGGGGGGCAGTATGTGTGTATGGGGGGTGTGTGTGTGTGATAAGGGTAGGGGGGCTTTTTTTTATAATATATATTTTTATATTTAATATAAATATTCTATGTCCCTTCTTACCTTTACTGGGGGGGGAGGGGGGACATTTCCCTGGTGGTCCGGTGGGGGATTCATTGGTGGTCCCAGTGGGGAGAGTGAACTCTAGCCCGCACTCCTGGGCTAGAGTTCACTCTCGCGAGATTTGGAGCGTTGCTGTGGTAACCGCGGCAACGCTCCAAATCTCGCGAGAGGAGGACCCGGAGGAGCTGCAGGCAGATCTCCCGGGTCCTCTCTCCTCCCTCTCCCTCCCCTGCCGGCTGTCAGCACAGTGCCTGCGGACCGGGGAGGGAGATCTGTGATCTGTGATCTCCCCTCCGGTCCGCAGGCACATTGCAGGGCTAGCACCTGCATGTGCTGGCAGGGGAGAGGGAGACTGTCGGATTTCTCGGTGGGGGGCAATTGCCCCGTTGCCCTCCCCCTGGATCCGCCACTGAGTAGAGGATAGACATAGGGTTAAGGAATACTTAGGTTTAGGGTAGGGTTAAGGGAGACAGGGTTACGGAAAGGAATAGACATAGGGTTAAGGGATGATTAGGGTTGTGGGTAGGATTAAGAGGTACTGAGTGCTATGAAAGGGTTAGAGGTAGATTTAGGGTCCTCAGAATTAGGGCTAGGGTAGAGGATAGACATAGGGCTAAGGAATACTTAGGTTTAGGATAGGGTTAAGGGAGACAGAGGGTTAGGGAAGGGAATAGACATAGGGATGAGGGTAGGGTTAGGGGTAGAATTAAGAGGTACTGAAGGTTAGGGAAGTATATGAGACTACTAGCCTAATTATGGATGGTACCTGCATTTAAGATGATGTAGGCTTCAGCTCTTATCATTTTCAGCTGAGAAAAAACTAGCTGAGAATAATGAGTTTAATTTCACAAAATCTTTGAAGGTCCAGGATAAAAGTGTAAACCAATGGCTGAAAAAACAGTATGGTAAAACCTACACCGTATCTTCTATTTTAATGGATATTGAAGGGATAGGAAGCATAAAAAATTATTCGTGTGGACTTTTAGTTTAAAATAAACGAGAAAATAGTACAATTGTATTTACTTCAATGATGATAAATTTATGAAAACTTATGAAATTTTGAAAAATCCTTTTTAACAGACAGTTCCTTATGGCTGACATTTGCAAACTGGTGAAAAATAATACAGAGAGGTGGGAATTATGTCAACATGTCTAACTGTAAAGAACAATACTAATTCCAGATTTTCTTTAATATCTTACGTAGTTATGCTGTAAGAAGAGATATTGTTATCTCGTTTGTCAGACAATACACAAACATAAAAAAAATTTAAAAAATGAAGCAATTATTTATATAAACCTTATAGCAAAAAACGTAATGCGTAACAAACTAACATTTTATTATCAATAAGCCTCATTCATTACAGCATATAAAATATAGTCAGAGATATGTTTATGCCATTGAAAATTATACTGAAATTTATATATGAAAATGGTAATTTTATCTTACACTTGGCAGCCGCCATTTTCCTTATAGGATTTGCTCCCTTACACATTGATGATACATTTATATAATGCAATTATCTCTAGTGATATGTAAAGATGAATTTTTCTGCAAGCAGTGTTTTCTGAGAACGTTTGAGTACTTACTGTACACACAAATGTCTTCCCTCTGGTCAACTTGCAATACCTTATTTCTGCATTAATGACTGGACCAAATTACCTTTAAATCATAAAAGGTTGTAGCATATAACAAAATGTATTTGCAGACACAGGGCTGAAAATGTTCATTGGTTTTCCCATATTATCCTATTTTCACAACTCACACTCATCCCTCCCGTAGCCTCCATGATTTTCTGTTTGTAAAGTGGTAGGTGGTAGGTAAGTGCTTTCATCAATGATACCTATAAGCATCAAGGCCAAAATCTGACTGGTTTATGGTCTAAAATGTCTACATCCTGTAACCGTTAGGATTTTTGCACTACTCAGAGACATTTGTTGTCAATTCTCTGAGAGGCACTCGCAACTCAGTACCATATTTACATAATCGGGTCCTGCTATCAATCTTACAAGCATACCTGCATAGCATATGGGTTTATGGATTTTAAATGCATATTTTTCAGTATAGAAATGCGATCCCCTTGACACCTGCAATAAACAATTGTGATTTTACTTGAGTTACTGTAGTGCACCTTAAAATAGCCTTCCTCAAAGACGGAAGATAATAAACAGGAAGAGTCTATTCAATAGTCGAACATAAAGCCTTCTTCTGGCTCTGGCTCACGCACAATACTCAGCTGTCTTTGCATTTGAAAGAGCTGGAGAGTGCTGGATTAGACCATTTTAATTTCATTAAAAATTATGTCCCAGTGTCTCCCGCAAGCTGTTCATCCCTTTGTGCAAGTCACCCCGGCATCTTCGGCATGTCCACAGTTTGTCTTTCCAAAGCCTCCAAAATGACATTTTAGGAGAGAGTCCTCTGTCCCTTTGCATGCAACATCATCCATCCAGATTCTTCCCACACCTGCAAAAACAAGAGAATCTGTTAGTGATGTGCTTTCTGCTCTGCAATACCAAGAGTGAGTCACCGAAAATAGTTAGTTCAATATATTGGTAACCCTGCCAAGATGGTGAGCCGAACATTGTATTACATTTTACTTTTGGAGAGCAAAAAATGGGTCGCAAGAGTATTCTGAGAATGGACAGCAGCTAAAATAGCCTGCCCTTCGGTGGGTCCCCACTCAGAACTCAAGCTGGTTTTAGCTCATCTTGTGCCATTATAGAGAGAACATATCTGAAGCATATCAGACTGGTCCCACCCATACGGGCAGTCCAGATCCGAAATGCCAGCAAGTTCTCTCTGTACGAGAGACACAGCAACCCCAGATGATCATTTCAGCCTTGTTAGGCATTATCAGTGAGGCATAGCTGATATCTCTCTAGGCACCGTGAGCAAGGGGTCC